CGTCCTCCTTTTATTTCTTTTTTTTCATTCATCTTGAATTTGTAGTCTTCCTGCCTCAGCTTCCAGAAGCTGGAATTTGTGCCATGAGGTCTGGAACAAATACAAAGATTTTTTTTTTTTTTTTTTTTAAAGAAAAATTATCTTTCTAGTCTCAAAGGCTTTGGCTTCATCTCCAGTTTGCAAAACAAATCCTAACAGCAATGTCAACCAATAGAACAACACACTCAATGGCTTGAAGGGGCCATGGGGCGAAGGAAAGCGGGAGGAAGGGAGAAAGCGAGAACTCGGACGAGCCTGAACGACCTTTCCATGGGTAGACGGTACTGAGCCTTTGGAGGATGTTTTAACTGCCCTGATGCATGCCTACAGCCCCCGCTGGGCGTGTGCATACCGAGTACCTACTGTGTGCTTATCTCACATACTGAGCAAGTGATGATGGGAGCGCGACTACTTAGCCCCGGTAGTTCAACAACACAAACCCTAGCCCGGAGAACTGGGTTTGCTCAGTGGGGTGGAGGTTGGGGAGTGTCCTAGCCCTTCCAGCTAGTCCAAGATCATACCCACAGACCTCCACCTCCTCAGGACCCCGACCACGCTTGCGTACTCCGCGGCCTGCGAACCAGTCCCTCCCACGTTGGACTACATTTCCCACAGGCCTCCGCGCGGCATCCTTCCGGCTGCCTAGCGCCGGGCAGCTGCGAGAGGTGAGTTGGTCTCCTGCACTGAGGAAATGGGCGCGGGGGCGGCGCGGATTTGGCTTTCCGTTGGTTTGAGAGACTTGGAGTCGGTGACGCTGAGTGGACACCGGGTGCCCCGCCGCGTCCTCCGTCTTCCCGCTGCAGGGCCCAGAGGTCCAGCATGGCCCCGAGTCACGCGTGCCAACCCCAGAGAAGGCCCCCCGAACAAAAAGACGGCAGCAGAGCTGCAGGGGCCGAGCGGCTTTGTCCGCGCGCCCTCTGAGGCTGCCCGCCGTGGCCGTCGCCTCCCAGGCCTGCCGCACCGGCGGCGGGAAGTGTCAGCTCCGTCCGCCGCTTTCCATTTCCAGTGGGTTATGTCTGTGGAAGTGGTGGGAGTGACGGGCCCCGGGGGTGTGTCCCGAGGCCACCATGCCCCGCACCTTCCCGATTCGGCTCGCTGGTCTTCAGGAAGGCGAGGGAATAAATGGAAAAAACGATGGTTGTTGCACACATAGAAACCCGACATTACTGTTGTATATGTGGGGAAAAAAAGAATTAGCCAAGTTACTTTCTTCTTCCGCTTTTTCCTATGGATTGTAATCCTTATTTTTCCAACCATGGGGACATTGACTATTTTTTACTGTGAAAGAGTTAAAAATCAACTTGCACTGAAAAGGAGGGGCGGGGTTTGGCGTTAATTAGGTCAGGGCGAAGAGTCAGATTAATGCAGATTAATAGAACCCATCACTCATAGACTATTGCTCTGTTGTTAAATGCAGGCCCATCCCTTCTTTGTGAGGTTACAGGTTTCCTTTTTTTTTTTTTAAATTGTATTTAACTTATTTATGTGTATGTGTGTATTTATGTGAGTACAAGTGTCAGCGGAGGACAGAAGAAGGCGTCCTATTCCCAGGAACTGGAATTATAGATGTTTGTGAGCCTCCATGTGGGTGCTGGGAATTGAACTTGGAGCCAGTGCTCTTAACCTTTGAGCCATGTCTCCAGCTTCACAGGTTTCTTTTTAAAATCAGTTTTTAATTTTCACTTTTATGTGTTTTGACTGCTTTTATGTCTGCACCACTGTGTGTGACTCGTGTCTGAGGAGGACTTCAGATCCTCCGGAACGTTTTGTGAGCAGCCATGTGGGTGCTGGGAACCGAACAGGGTCCTCTGCACAAGCAGCTGGCGCCCTTATCTGCCAATCCATCTCTGCATTCCAGGCTATAGCTTTCTTACTCTTGAGGCTTGCTTTGGTAGTTTGTTTTTAGTTATTGAGGAAGATTCATTTGCTAAATCACCCTCCTTACCTAAGAATAGCACTTTGGTCTTTCTTTCTTTCTTCCTTCCTTCCTTCCTTCCTTCCTTCCTTCCTTCCTTCCTTCCTTCCTTCCTTTCTTTCTTTCTTTCTTTCTTCTCCTCCTCCTCTTCTTCTTTTTTAAGCAGAGCCTTAATTTGCAACCAAACTGATCAGGAATTCACCATGTAACCCAAGCTGACCTTGAATTTGTGGGTGATCCTCCTGCCTCGGCCTCCAGGCTGCAACGCATGCCACTATGCCCAGCCAGGGTAGCATTTAATCTTAAATCAATCTCTGTCTCTTCTAATCCCATCTCAGTAACAGCAGCTGTTCCAAACTCCTAAATTACCAATCCTCTTTAAAGCCTCTTTAAAGTCTGGGAGCTGGAATCGTACCTCACAGGTAGAGAGCTGTTCTAGTGTAGACTGAGTAGGGGTTTATGACCAGCACTTTGTGGGGGCAGGGCATGGCTTACAGAAGAGCCTTTTCCCCTCCATCCATCCTCAATGTGTCAGTCAAGACTTTGTAGCAGGATACAGACTTTTCTCAGTTAGCCTGGAGCTTTAACAACCAAAGAGACCTCTTAACCTCGTGTTATGGTTTCTGCCTAGGTGACTAATGGGGGTAGACTCTTCACACATTCTTCCTTTCCAGTGGTTATTCACACAAGGAATGGGAAAGTGTTGAAAGTGTTACATTTCTCTCTGGAGCTGTGTTTTTCTGTTGTGTTTGGATGGTCTTCAAGTAAACCTAAAGAGAAGCTAGCTAGCTTTAGCTTAGTTTATGATTTGGAGAGGAAATCGCAAACCTCCAGCTGCAGGAGCCACCACATCCAGCACTGCACGAGGTGTCATTGATCTCAGCTGCCCTGAGTTCAAAGCAGGAAAGACACAAAACGGTTTGCTTGGTAACAGGGGCTTTCACTTTAGCACCCCTCCCCATTTCCAGTGCTGGGGTTCCAGTTCAGGGCCTTGTATGTTTGAGGCAAACACTCCACACCCGAGTTATCTCCCAAGAGTCTTCATCTTTTGAGGCTCATGAGGAGAGGTAAGATGATAGGGATCTTAGGGAGAGGTCTGTGAACAAGGGAGGTGGTTTACAGTTTTCAAAGTGAGCTCATTATAGGCCACTGACTTATGTCTTAGGGAGGCTGAGATGTAGGGACATTAGTGTGGGTTATGAGGCGAAATTGCCAGGGTTCTAAGCTGAAACCTGCCATGTTTTCCTGGTTTGATGTATCCCTCTATGCTGTATGTAGTTCCACGGGAAAGACGAGGCCTACCGTATAGGACCACTTGGAATAAATGAATTAACCGAGGGCTCGGGATGTGGTATAGTGTTGGCCTACCATATCCAAAGCCTAAGATGCCGTCCTCAGTGTGACAGCGACAGCCTTCCCCTCAGAAACAAACAAGAAAAAAACCTGTAAAACCCATAGGTAGTACTTGGCACTGTAGTTGAGGGTTCAGTACCCTTGCTAACTGTTATAATACATTCTGGTTTTCCTCATCTCCTACGTCCAAAAATCATGAGTAGTTTGCCACATTTACTTTATGTGTCCATGTACTCCCAGTTGTAGATTACTGATGATCAACAGCTGCCTGTCAGCTGGGCATGGTGGTACAATATTTTTAAATTTATTTTATGTATATAAGTGTTTTGCCTTTACCACATGCATGGCTGGTGCCTAAGGAAGTCTGAAGAAAGTGTCAGATCTGCTGGGACTAGAGTTAGAGATGTTACGAGCAACCGTACAGATGCTGGGAACTGAACCTGGGTCCTCTGCAAGAGCAAGTGCCCTTTTTACATTTATTTATTTGTGTGTATGTGTTCTCTTTGTGTGTGTGTTTATCTTTGTGCTTATGATGAGGTGTTAGACCTAAGTCAGAATCCTTGAGAAGTACCTGTGCTCCACACTATGCCTACCTTGTGCTGGGTTTCCTCAGAGCTTTCTGTAGGGATCTTGGGTTGGGGTGGGTTTGGGGTGGGTGTAAGTACGGTAATGAGGAATGACTTGGAAGCAAGAATGGCAGGGGTCGGGGAGAGGGACGCTGCTCTTCCTAACATAAATTAATTGGGTAACTTTTAGGCACATCTGGATTCATGAGTTTTTTTTATTCTAGCTTTGCTTGTCTGAACCCCACAGTTTTCCATAGAGAAATATCGAAAAGCCAACCAGTTCCTGCAGTTCTGACACTATGGCCCTGGCCCAGGTAGGTTACTGTTTTTTCTCCTTGCCCTCAGATGTATGACTCTACTGTGCCTCCCAGGTGCTGGGACTGCAATGTGTACAGCAGGCTTGGTACCTGTTTCCTCTGAACACTCAGTTTCTAGATGGTTGTGTACATCCTTTTCCTGAGCCCTCGGATCTGGCGTGCTCCATGCAACACCCACCCCAGCTCTCATTGCAGAGAGGTTGGAGACACAACCCATTGCTGTAAATGTTTCCTCCAAGGCTGTGTCCCCACCTGCCCATTGTTCCTGTCAGAGCCACAGCGAGCCTAAAATGCCGTAAGGAAGACCTAGATGAGCTCTGCAGAATGTTCTCCAACGTTTTCTAGTGGAGCAGCTTTTGGGTTTAATAATTAAAATATTTTTTCGATGTATTATCTTTGTGTGTATGTGGGTGCATGTGCCATGGTGCACATGTGGAGGTCAGAGGACATCAATTTTCTCTTTTGAACTTTATGTGGGTTCCAGGGGTCTATCAAACTCAGCTTTACCTACTGAGCCATCTTGCCAATCCTGATTTTTAGTATTTAGATTCCAGGGGAAATTGTTTCTCTTAGTATAGTGATTTTTTGTTGTTATTGTTGTTTTGAGACAGGGTTTTTCTGTATAGCCCTGGCTGTCCTGGAACTTGCTCCGTAGACCAGGCTGGCCTTGAACTCAGTGATCCACCTGCCTCTGCCTCCCAAGTGCTAGAATTAAAGGCATGTGCCACTACCACCCAGCTTGATTTTTTTTTAATTTTGTTTTATACAGAAAATATTTGTATTCCAATGGACAGTATGTCATTTTGTTTTTTATCATTTTTTTTTTTTTTTTTTTGGTTTTTCGAGACAGGGTTTCTCTGTGTAGCTTTGCGCCTCTCCTGGAACTCACTTGGTAGCCCAGGCTGGCCTCGAACTCACAGAGATCCGCCTGGCTCTGCCTCCCGAGTGCTGGGGTTAAAGGCGTGCGCCACCACCGCCCGGCTTTTTTTAAAACTGTGTTCATCTGTACACCTGTGTGTGCATGTGTGTAGAGGCCAGAGGCTGACGCTGGATGTCTTCCTCAATTTGATTTCCACCTTAGTTTTGAGACAGAGTCTGTAGATGTAACCAACCTTCTTATTAAATAAGAAACACAGAACCAATGCAAAGAAGAAAGCCAAGAGGTCAGAGCTAAGAGCTAAAACCTTACCCTTCCTCCTGCAGTGGTCCTACCTCTCCGAACCAGAGCTACCCCTGTGTTAAAGTCTTTATATAGAGTTCCTGTTCTGCCTTCTCATTGGTTGTAAACCCAACCACATGACCGCCTCTTCACGGCCTGTCTGTATAGGCCTCCAGGTTTTCCATGATTGGTATTGATTAAAGGCATGTGTATCCAATAATGGCTGTATCCCTGAACACACAGAGACTTACCCAGCTCTGCCTACCAAGTGCTGAGATTACAAGCGTACGCCACCACTGCCCTGCTTTCCTATGGCTTACTAATAGCACTGACCCCCGGGCAACTTTATTTATTAACATACAAATAACATTTTAATACAAATAAAATATCACCATAAGAGTCTCCCTGACATGGAGTCCACCCATTCAGTAGACTGGCTGGCCAGCAAGCCCCAGGGACCCTTCTGTCTCCATTCCCCAGTGTTGGGCTTATGGGCCTGTAATTACAGGCTTACGGGCCTGGCTTCTCACATGGCTGCTGGGAATCCAGACTCAGGTCCTCATGCTTCTGTGGCAAGTCCTCTACTGACCGAGCTCTCTCTCTAGTCCCCAAAATGGCATTTAACAAACTTCTAGTGAGGTTTGTGTGAAAATTATCAATGTATAGCTGAACAAATGTTCATAAATGGAATATATCTTTACTACCAAATCAGGAAAGGAGTGTACTAGCACTTCAGCTGTCCCTTCAGTCACCTACCATCCAGATAGCCCAGATGAAGACACTGTCCTTCCTTCAAACACCACAGAGTAATTTTACCTGTATTTGAACTTACTTTTTCTTTTTCCTCCCTTGGTTTTTTTTGTCTCTTTTCGTCTCCCCTCTCCTTCCCTCTCCTCTGTTCTCTTTGACAGGGTCTTACTGTGTAGCTCAAGCTGGCCTTGAACTTGAAATTTTCCTGTGTCCAGTTCAGACACCAGCTCTGCCCAGCTTTAATTTTTAACTTTGAGCTTTAAGTGGAATTATGTAGTTCTATACATTTTAAAAGAATGTCCAGGGAGAGTCTGATTATATTCCAAGTAGAATTGCTAGCCCATCAGAACTGTCTTTGGCTGTTTTAAAGTATATGTATCATTAATGCGAATGTACGGAAAGACAGCTGACATCAACCCCTGACTTGCATGTGTGTTAAGATCTTACAATGTCCAAGGCTTTCCAATTGGATAGGTTAGGTTGGGATGTTATTGAGGGTTTATGTGATAAGATCTAAAAATCCATGTGAGGCTGGGCATGGAGGGTGACACCTTTAATCCCAACACTCAGGACACAGAAGCAGGAGAATTTCTGTGAGTCTGAGGCTAGTTTGGTCTACATAGTGAGTTCCAGGCCAGGTAGGGCTACATAGTGAGACCTTGTCTCAAAAATCAAAATTAAATAATTAATGTGTTGTCTTGTCATCTTTGTTAGGGCAGTGGCCTAGCCAGGTATGCATTGCCTCACTGGTCCAGAAGCCTTCCTTCCCAGCTAGTTCCACTATCTGCCGGGTTACCTCTGCACCTCCTAGTCTTACACCTCCCTAGTATCCCACAGGATAGTCATCTGAGCTGTCCACATTTTCCTATGGGAACCAGGGAACACCTAGTCCTCTTCCAAAGCCTTTCCGAAGACCCCTGTCCTCTCCCTTCCTGAGGGTGACCTTTTATGATGTGCCATGACTTCTCTCTCGCTGTGAGTACATATGACCGACAGATTGCTGTGGGTCTCGGCTGTGCTGTGTTAGCCATTGTTTTAGGGTGGAAGAGTGTTCCTTCAGCACTACAGTTAAGAGAGTGATAAGAATGGGAACACACACAGAAGGACCAAGACCCATCTCTGCATTGAGCATGGTGAGCATCCCTACAATCCTAGTGCTTGGAAAGTTGAAGAGGCCAGCCTGGGCTCTGTAGTGAGACCCTCTCTCAAAAAGAAAAGGTGAGTGTCTTCTAGAGAGAAGAACCCTGTGACAAAGCCCCTCGTGATTGTTTATGGGATGCACTTTATTTGAGCAAGATTTCTCAACTTTGCTACCATTGACATTTTGAGCCAGAAAATCTTTAATGGTAGGGAATTACCTGTGCACTATAGGCTGTGTGACAGTAACTCTGGCCTCTACCATTAGATCCCTGTTAACACTGGCACACCTTACCCCCTTGTGTGACAACCAAATTGTCTCCAGACATGGCCTTTTAGGGAACAAAATTGCTCTTTGTTGAAAAATGCTAGTCCTGTCAGTCATGATACACTTGTCATCTCACCCTTTGGGAGGTGCGGCAGGAGGATCATGATAATCGTTCTTGCCTACATAGAGGATTTAAGGCTGGCCTAAGTTCAACCCCAGGAACTCACATGGTGGAAAGAGAGAACTGATTCTCTGACAAATACACATAAAATAAATAAATATATAGATATAAAAGGAAAGAAACCACTAGTCTAGGGTGCTGTCTTCACAGTATTTTCATGACTTAGTGTCCTCTAACTCAAGGACGGAAAAGATGTTGAGTGAGACCTGCTAAACAGGATGAGAGTGACTGTGATTTGTAAGTGTTAGATACTCTCAACAAGAGCTAGGGGAGCTTTTGGGATTGTGCCAAGTTCAAAGATCTATCTATCTATCTATCTATCTATCTATCTGTCTGTCTGTCTATCTAGAGTCAGGGTCTTATTATGTAGCCTTGACTGGCTGGCTTTGAACTCACTATTTAGACCAGACTGACCTCGAAGTCATGGAGCTCCACCTCTTTCTGTCTTCCAAGTCCTGGGATTAAAGGCGTGCACCACCATCACTAGTGCTCAAATATCTAAACGTTAAAAAGATATTAAATATATCTAATATAGTCAAGATGAGGACAAGTATTTACCAAAAATTTAAAACTTAGATTGTAACAGGGAACATACTTAAAATAGAATCTGACTTTGTAATGAACTTGAATCAGTCTGTCTCAGATACTTTGTAGTGTATTTGGAATGAATTTTTTCTTTTTGGAAGAAGATTTTTGTCACTATGTTTTCTAGCCAGTGAAACTGAATGCATTATTTCTGTAGAATTTATAATGGGAGCACATAGTACACTATATAGTTGGGCTCACTTGTGGGTTTTGTTGTCTTCATTTCCAGAATGAATGAAAAATCGAATCTTGGGCTGACAAGATGGCTTAGAGGTAGAGATGATGGTCTGAGTTCAATCCCTGGGACCCACATGGTAGAAGGAACTGGCTCTTATGGGTTGTCCTCTGACCTCCACACATGTGCTATGGTATGCTCATGCATGAGCATGTGTCAACACACACACTCTAAATAAAAATGAAATAAACATTTATTTTAGAACTTTAGTTTTATGTGCATGTACAGGAAGGACTGTGTGGGAACATCATCACTCTGCTGCCGAGATGCTGATTCTCTCTCTTGCTGTGTCTGTTCCTGTCGTGGTTGGTGGTCAGCTCCATGCTGTTGGCGTGCTGGGTGCTTCCCACTTTGCATATGGTCCTCCTTCAGTCTCCACTTTCCTTAGAAAGAGAAAAAAGAAAGTTCCCATGCACTACCCTGAGTTTGTTTTCTCAGGGTTCAGTGACGTTCAGGGATGTGGCTGTGGCTTTCTCACAGGAAGAATGGGAATTCCTGGACTCTGCTCAGAAGAGGCTGTACCGGGACGTGATGTGGGAGAACTATAGCAACTTCATCTCGCTGGGTGAGCAGATCTGTCCCGAGGATTAGCTTTCCACGCTGTAGAAATACGCTTCATTTTTACTTTCTGTTTGATAGGTTAGAAATAGGTCCTTCCATTTAGCGTCTAATCATTCTTGGCCGGGGTACTCTTCTCATTTTCTCAGACTCTGATTTCTTCCTTTGTGGCCAGGTTTCCCTGGTGTCTGGATTTGATATGGCAGAAATATTTTCTAAGAAAGTAGATGTCATACCTCATTTGAACCCAGAATTATTGTAGACACTCCTTGCTCTGCTCTAGTTCCAAAGGCAATGCATGGGATGGACACAAACTTAACACTTGGGGAATATGCTCTGTCCTGGGTACCAGACCTCTAGTGTACTACCTGCTTCACGCTTGAAAGTTAAAATCTGGGCTGGGGCTGTACTCAATGGTAGAGCACATGCCTAGGGTGTGTGAGGCCCTGGGTTTGATCCCAGTACCTCAAATGTAGTTAGAAATCTAAGCTTTTCGTATTTTCAGTGATAGACTTAAACGGTCTGACTGTTTCTGGAAGCTTCTTACCCTCTCAGCCCAGTGAGAGGCATGTGTGTTCTGTGTACTTAGTGCTTAGACGCTGTTCTGGGTGTAATCATCCTCATTTCTGGGGAGAATGCTCAGGCATGAGAGGTTGCGGCTGTGGAAACGGCTTGGTGAGTGAAGCACTGAGTTCAAGTCCTGAGTGTACGTAACAGCGCCCGTGTGTGGTCCTGGCATCCCTGTGGTGAGGGAGGAGGTAGAGAAGGACAGTCCCTGAAGCACTCAGGCAGGCTCGCCCGATGAGCACAGCGGTGAACAAGAGACCCCGTTTCCAACAGTGGAAAGCCAGGACCAATGTCTAAGGTTCTCTGACCACGTGTGTGCTGTGGCATGCGTATGTCCACACACACACACACACACACACACACACACACACACACACACACACACACGTTATTTACTGAGGTGGCCTAGGAAATAGGCAGGATGTGAGGCAACCTGTCCAGAGCTGTAGTCACCACACAGTGCGGCCTCTCTGTAGAGCCAGACTAAATTAGGTGAAGTATGTCCTTAGTCATCAGGCGTTTATTCTTTGTGGTCTCTAGGTTTCCCTGTAATGGTTATCCTGGAGCTCTGTCACATGAGTTTAATGCTTTGGTTATGAAGTGCTGTTTTGGAGACAGGCTTGGTGGTGATCCCTGTACTCAAGAGGCTGAGACAGGAAGATAGCCACTTGAATGCTGGGTTGGACTATGTAATGAGCTCCAGGCTGGTTGGGCTTCAGAGCGAGACCCTGTCTCAAAACAGCACCACCTGACTTACAACTAATTAAAAATGTAATAAAATCTGAAAGTAAGGATTTTCAGGTTTATAATTTGATGTGACATTTTTCTATTAAGCAGGACCTTCCATTTCTAAGAGAGATATGATTACCTTACTGGATGAAGACGGGAAGGAGCCTGAGATAGTTGTGAAGGAAGGGAGAAGACACTGTCCTGGTGAGTGAGGGTGAGCTGGCATGGAGGGCTGTTGCTACAGGTCGTTGCTCAGCTCAGTGAGGTGGGGTCCTTGCTGAGAAATTGTTGGGGATCTCTCTTCCAAAGCCTTGGCCTCAAGGGAAACTTGAGACCTGAAGCAAATTCATATTTTAAAATATTATGTGTGTATGTGAAAGGGGGTGGGAGATAGGCCTGTGTGCCATGGCATGCATGGAGGTCAGGGGACCACTGTGTGGGATTGGTTCTCTCCTTCACCTTCCCATGGGGCCTGGGAGCTGGCTTAGGTCAGTAGGCACTGTTCGCCACTGAGCCTAAATTCCCGTCTTTTAACTCTGAAGTAGCAAAACTGCTTTGTTTTTGTTTTGTTTTGTTTTTCGAGATAGAGTTTCTCTGTGTAGCCCTGGCTGTCCTGGAACTCACTCTGTAGACCAGGCTGGCCTCAAACTCACAGAGATCCGCCTGCCTCTGCCTCCTGGGTGCTGGGATTAGAGGTGTGCGCCCCTACTGCCCGGCTGCAAAACTGCTACATGTTGAGCTTGGTTACCTTGTTTCTTATCCTCCTTATTTCCATCCTACTTCGAAGGAAGCCATTATCAGTAGAAGGGGAAAAATGATTATAAATACAGGAACAGAAATCAGAAAAATAAAACAAGAAATGAGATTGATAAAGCCAAAATTGAAATAAATGTCGTTAAAAACTTGAACAGAGTTAGTGAACACTTAGTGAACTAACTGGGAAAAAAGAACATAAATTACTACCAGGAATGGAAGAAGGGATTTCCCAATCTCTTCTGGAGCTGAGAAAAGAATCCATGAATAACTTTGCACCAATAAATTTGATGGTTGATGTGATGTGGAAAAATTCCTTGAAAAACGCCAAGATTACAAAAATAACTCATGTCTATTAAAGTATGGGATTCATTGTGAAAAATCTTTTGTAAAGAAAATGCTCGCGTTTTTCACTGGTGGGAAATTCTATTAAAAATTTAAGGGAGATGCCGGGCGGTGGTGGCGCACGCCTTTAATCCCAGCACTCGGGAGGCAGAGCCAGGCGGATCTCTGTGAGTTCGAGGCCAGCCTGGGCTACCAAGTGAGTTCCAGGAAAAGGCGCAAAGCTACACAGAGAAACCCTGTCTTGAAAAAAAAAAAAAAAAAACAAATTTAAGGGAGAAATAGCATTATTGTATGAATTTCTCCAGAAAATAAAGGTAACCTCTTGGCTTACTTCATAAATCCTATGTAACTCATAATTGACATTTACTGAAACAGATTATAAACCCTTATTGTTTGCATAGAAATTTCTCAATACAATACTAGTAAGTCAAACTCACATGTAGCTGTGTGGTCGCTACACGAGTGTGTGGGTTCACGTGGTCCGGTCTGTGGAATGAAGACACAGAGGCATCTTAAGAATGAATTTAGCCTGTCATGGCTGCAGGGGTCCAGCCTCGAAGGACTGAAGCCCTTTTCCCTTCACCTAGGGCATATTTATTTACTCCTTTTTACAGTTTAGATAGTTAATTTCTGTACCTTCAAAGCAAACCAAAAGGAGCTCCCAGAGACCAAATGCCAGGTGCAAATTACTTGATTTCTCAGGTACCTCGGTTTTCTGGGTTTCCTGGACCAAGTTTTGCATAGGCCTTTCATCCTTGGGGGACTCTCTGATCCTTGACTCTCAGACAAGATTCACATAGAGTGATAAGAGAATCAAAAGGTAAGAGGAACAAAAGGTGTGGTTAAACAAAGGAAGGATCAGGGCTAGGTGCTGCTCTCTGGAGCCAGGCCAGGAGCTCAGCAGGAATGCCACCACACTCACCAAATATTTAAAAATGACCAACAAGTGGACCTCATTCCTGTAACTATTGAAGCTCAGTTAGATAGTACCATTTCACCATATTAAACAAACAAACAAAAAAGAGAGACTATATGGTTAACTATTAACGTAAAGATAACACATGGCAAAACTCAACATCCATTCCTGATCTGAAAAAAGAAACAAACAAACCTATTAGTGAGTAGGGCATGGTGATGCACGCCTGAAATCTTCACACTCCTCACTAAGACAGGCTGCATTTCACCCACCTTAGGGGTAGCTTGCCTATCTTAAGGCTTCTTTTCTTTTGTGTGTGTGTTGGGGTGTGTGTGTGGGGAGGAGAGAATGTTCCTGTGTGAGGAGGTGCATGTGTTTGGGTGCATGTTCACATGTGTGTGTGTGCATGTGGGGTACCTTCCTCAACGGCATCTTCACTTTATTTTTTTGAGACACAGCCTTGAACTGAACCTGGAACTCACTTATTGGCTAGACTGACTGGCTAGCACATCCCCAGGGTTCCTCTGTCTCTGTCTGTCTGGTGCTGGGATGGCAGATGCACACCGCCGCCCCAGGCTTTTTACATGGGTGCTGGGGATATAAGCTCAGGTCTGCATACTTCAGAACAAGTACTTTACTGACTGAGTTGTTGCTGCATCTCTTCCTTCCTTCCTTGCTTTTCTGGAGACAGGGTCTCACTGTATAGCCCTGGCTGGCCCAGAATTCACAGACCCACCTGCCTCTGTCTCCTGAGTACTGAATTGAATGTACTACCATACCTGTCTGCGATCCTTCCTTCCTTCCTTCCTCTCCTCCCTTCTTCCCTCCCTCCCTCTCTCCCTCCTTCCTTCTTTCCTTCCTTGCTTTTTCTTGGAGACAAAGTCTCTCAAATAGTCCAGGCTAGACTTGAACTCACTAGGTATCCAAGGATGACTTTAAACTTCTGATCCTCTTACTTCCACCTCCTGAGTGCTGGGATTGTAGTCAAGCACCACCACACCCAGTTTGGTCCTTACTTTTTTTTTTTGTCTTTTTGAGATGGGTTCCTATGTTGCTCAGGCTGGATTCTAACTCTCGTGGTCAAGTGATCCTTCTCCCTTAGCCTCTCTGGAAGTTGGGAATATAAGCACACATTACACTCTTCAATTGAGTTTTCTTTTTGTGGTTTTAGAGATGATCTTTATTTGGCTTAAGCTGTCCTGAGACTCTGTGCAGCCCAGTCTGGCCTTAAACAAGTAGCATCCTCCTGCGTTAGCCTCCTGAGTGCTGGGATTGCAGATGTAAGTCTGTTTGGCTTTATTTTACATGTGCTGTCTTAGCACCTGAAACAGTACTTCTGCTTAATTTTTATGCATTTTAATATTCATGAAGTGGCTTTGGCCACACTGAGCACCTTTACTCCGTGACATAGTAACTATAGTGTTGTTCATGTTTTACTGATAAAATTGTACACAATTGCATGTTAATGCCTGCTGTTCTTTCCAAGAACTTTTGGTGAATGATTTTGAATGTGATGTGGGTTTTTGGGTGCACATGGGTTGTATTTTTTCAGAAATACCTGTTTACAGGAAGTATAGTAGGCATTTCTTTAGGTCCTTCTATTTGTCTATGGAAGTTTTCTTCCTTCTGGAACAGGGATGCAACATGTTTCTTGTTTTCTTTCAGATTTGGAGTCCAGATTCAAGACCAATACTTTATCTGCAGACAAGGACATTGATGAAGTATATTCATTACAATGGGAGTTGATGAGGAAAATGAAAAGCCAAAGTCCTCAAGGTTCTGTTCTTAACGATGATTGGGAATATGAAAGCAAGATTGAGCAACAAAAGGAACCCCAGGAAGGTTATTTTGGGCAGTTGAAAATTACCTCTGAAAAAAGCACATACAAAAAGCACAGTTTCCTTGCTGAGTATCAGAAAGTTCAGAATGGAGAGAAGTTCTATGAATGTAAAGAGTGTAGGAAGACCTTTATCCGCCGCTCAACGCTAAGTCAACACTTGAGAATCCATACTGGTGAGAAACCTTATAAATGCAAGGAATGTGGGCAACCCTTCAGACAGCGTGCACACCTTATCCGTCACCACAAACTTCACACTGGTGAGAAGCCCTACGAGTGTAAGGACTGTGGGAAGGCCTTCACAGTGCTCCAGGAACTCACTCAGCATCAGCGACTCCATACTGGTGAAAAGCCGTATGAATGCAAGGAGTGTGGAAAGGCCTTTCGGGTCCATCAGCAGCTGGCTCGACATCAGAGGATCCACACCGGGGAGAAACCCTACGAGTGCAAGGACTGTGGGAAGACCTTCAGACAGTGCACACACCTCACCCGACACCAAAGACTTCACACTTCTGAGAAGCTGTACGAGTGTAAGGAGTGTGGAAAAGCCTTTGTGTGTGGCCCTGACCTTCGAGTACATCAGAAAATCCACTTTGGTGAGAAGCCCTATGCATGTAAGGACTGTGGCAAGTCCTTCAGAATATGCCAACAGCTGACTGTCCATCAGAGTATCCATACTGGGGAGAAACCCTATGAATGTAAGGAATGTGGGAAGGCCTTCAGATTGAGGCAACAACTTGTTCGCCATCAGAGAATCCATACCCGTGAGAAGCCCTATGAATGTCTAGAGTGTTGGAAGACCTTCAGTAGTTACTCCCAACTGATTTCACATCAGAGCATTCATGTGGGTGAGAGACCCTATGAGTGTGAAGAATGTGGGAAAGCCTTCAGACTGCTCTCACAGCTCACTCAGCATCAGAGTATCCACACAGGTGAGAAACCTTATGAATGCAAGGAGTGTAGGAAACCTTTCCGACTGCTCTCACAGCTCACTCAGCACCAGAGCATCCACACGGGTGAGAAGCCTTATGAATGCAAGGACTGTGGGAAGGCTTTCAGACTTTATTCATTTCTTTCTCAACACCAGAGGATCCACACTGGAGAGAAGCCCTACAAATGTAAGGAGTGTAAGAAGGCCTTCAGACAGCACTCACACCTCACCCAGCATCAGAAGATCCACAGTGGAACTTAAGCAAAACCTCAGTTCTATGTCATGGTGCAAAATGTCAGGAAATCCATTTTTGAGAATAATTTATTTCATGCTTATATAAGTAAGCATAAGAAATACTATATTGCTTTAAAAGTTCTCCATTCTCACTTAAATGTTACCTTTCTTCAGCAAATTCCTATGAAAGAATAATTTGATGAATGTAGGAAAATCTTTAGCCTTATCAGTTGTCATCTCCATCTAACTACTCTCTTCCCATTGTGATACTGGACAGGACACTAAATATTAATGCCTTGTTTTGCTCACTGTCAAAATGGTGATAATAGGCCGGGCGGTGGTGGCGCACGCCTTTAATCCCAGCACTCGGGAGGCAGAGCCAGGCGGATCTCTGTGAGTTCGAGGCCAGCCTGGGCTACCACGTGAGTCCCAGGAAAGGCGCAAAGCTACACAGAGAAACCCTGTCTCGAAAAACCAAAAAAAAAAAAAAAAAAAAAAAAAAAAAAAAAAAAAAATGGTGATAATAGTACTTACACATGTTATTTATTGTTATGTAACAAATTACTAGAAAAACAGTAGTTTAAATAATATACACTTATTATCTAAAAATTTCTATAGATTGAGAGTCCAGGCAAGCCTTAGTTGGGTCTTTCAGGTTTCAGCTAAGGCTTAACTAGAGAAAGATCCACATTGAAGGGAACAAGTTAGACACCTACAACACCTGAATTCTTTGAGAGCTGACACATTGAAGTTCCTGGCCACTGCTGGTTTTGGTTCTGTTTTTTTTGTTTTTGTTTTTTTTTAGATAGGGTTTCTCTGTGTAGCCCTGGCTGTTCCAGAGCTCACTCTGTAGACCAGACTTCCCCGAACTCACAGAAACCCATCTGCATCTTCCTCCGAGTACTGGGATCAAAGACCCGTGTCACCACTGCCCAGCATAGCTGTTGTTTTAGGGAGATTGTGGAATCCAAGAAAGATGGCTGCTAGCAGGATGGGAGTCAGCTAGCAAGACTGAAATTACAATCTGTGCAATCTAATCATAAAAGAAACATCCCATCATTTTACCACCTTCACTGGTTAAAAATAAGTTCTTAGGCTCAAGAAGATTGCATGGAATTGAATACTACAAGACAGGGGCCAGGGATACCAGTTTAGAGCCCACCTGCTGCACTGCATAATAGAATTGATTTAAGAATGCAGTAGTTAACACTTGACAGACTAACAGCCATGGTAGCATGTGCCCTATAAACAACGCATATGATTGTTATTAGTATTGTCGGTTGGTATAGAAGGAAGATGATCCTATGGAAGAATAAATGTAGAAATGCTTCCTTTCACATCTCTGCAGTTATAAACCTCAGTTTCTTCTAAGTCAGATCTAGGAGATTATAGTAATTGGAAGATTTTTGTCACTTGAGCTGCATCAAAAACTTCATGATAAAAGAGACTGAATTTCATGAATGTTGGTTGTTAAAACTTAACTGTTAAAGAATCAGAGGAAATGACTTCTTCAAATCTAAAAAACAGCAGATCATTTAGAATCCCTTCTCTGTTCAAATTTTAAAAAAAGCAGATCATTTAGATTCCCTTCTCTGACCAAATTCAAGATAAATCACACAATCTCTCTCTCTCTCTCTCTCTCTCTCTCTCTCTCTCTCTCTCTGTCTCTTTTGGTTTTTTTCAAGACAGGGTTTCTCTGTGAAACAGCCCTGCCTGTCTTGGAATTCACTCTGTAGACCAGGCTGGCCTGGAACTCAGAGATCCACCAGCCTCTGCCTCCTGAGTGCTGGGGTTAAAGGCATGCGTCACCACCGCTTGGCAGATTGCTGTATTTTCAACCTATGTTTCAAGGTAGATTTTTTTGACATGATTCTGCTAATGCTTTGGTAATTATCATGGTTATGGCTGCACAATCTAGTCAGTAATAGATGATGGTAGGACACCAAGTCATATTTATTTATTTATTTATTTATTTATTTATTTATTTATTTATTTCTATTTTGAGACAGTCTTACCATGTTGCCCTGGCTTACCTGGACTCTGTGTAGACCAGGCTGGCCCAGAACTCAAAGATTTCTCTGCCTCTGCCTCTGCCTCCAAGTGCTGAGATGAAAGCATATGCCTGCCTAACATCATCTTAAATTAGCAGATGAAAGCAAAATGAACGTGTGTTTTTCTCTTCCATGTGAACCACTTTTCAGTGTCAATAAGTGTTTGTCAAATTCAAGTGCTTTTTTTTCCTAAGCAAATTTAACCAGTAAATGCAGAAAGAAAGAGAACTGGGGGAAGTGGGGGAGTGGGGGGTTGGTGGTCACCGTTTTCTAGACTCTTGTGGAATAATGGGTCCAGAAAATGATCTTCAGTGAATGCTAGAATTTTTACGTGAAAGATTTTGTGACCACTTCTGAGCCCTTCATTAATTTTATCCTCAATGAAAACGTGACTGTCAGGCAGTAGCCACCTCCTGATAGATTACAGCAGGACTGCCCAGATGACAAAGTAGTTCACCTTTCAAATTCTTTTAAACCAAGAGCTACAGGAATGGATGGGTAGAGCAGATTCAACACAAGAGCAGATTCAACAACATTTGTGTCTAAAATGAAAGGGAAGAAAATCCAGCAAAAGAAAGGCAGTTGACAAAACAAGGCCTAGTGCCACCCAACTTCAATTCCCTCAGGAGGAGAGACAGGCAGATTGCTGGGTTTGAGGCCAGCCTGGTCTACAGAGTGAGTTTCAGGATCCCTTCTCAAAAAACAAAAAATGGAGCTGGCAAAATGAGTCTAGATTGTCAAAGCATTGCTAGTGACTAATTGCGGTTATTCGATCATGGAGGGCCAATGTTCCATTTCCACATTTGTACATGTCTGAAATTCCAATATTTTAACAACTAAAACATTGGAAACTAGTTGGAAATGATGAGATGACTGCATATTTAAACTGGTTAAATGCCACACAGCTGACAACCCTTTGATATACCAAGGAAATTCTTTGTGGGCTTGACACACAAAATAGGTGTTGACTATCAGGAAATGTGAAATAAATGAATCCAGTACTAACACAAGCAAAAGCTTCAGGAAATAGTCACCCCTTAACAAGACTTTCAAATTAACATCATGTTAAATAAACTTGACTAAAAAGACAACACATACACAAACCCTAGTTAAATGTAATGTCACACCTATGATATCAGCTTAGAAGGCCAGTACAGGAGATGTAGGAGTTTAAGGTTAGCTACATAGCAAGACCCTGGCTCAAGAAATAGTAGTGATGATGACAATAAAAACTAGACCATGTCAGGGAGACTGCTCAGTAAAGTACATGCTGCTGAAGCATGATGACTTGGGATCCCTGGCAACCATGGAAACACCAGCTGTGACTTTTTCACCTCTCTGTAACCCCAGCACAAGGCAGTGGTGGCAGTGTGTTTGTGACGCTGGTGGAACCTTAAACTTGCCTCTGGGTCCAGTGAAGATTCCATGTCCAGTCTCAAAATGACAAGGCAGGCTGGGTATGGTAGCACATGGCTTTAACCCCAGTACTCCAAGGCAGAGGCAGGTGGATCTCTGTGAATTTGAGGCCAGCCTGGTCTACATAAAGAGTTCCAGCTGGGGTTCTGTAGTGAGACCCTGTCTCAAAAAAAAAAAAAAAAAAAAAAAAAGTGAGGTGGAAAGCTGCTGCTGCTGAAGAGAGTTGATGTCAACCTCTCATCTCCAGATATGCTTACACACACACGCACACGCACACGCACACACACACGAGTGCACAGGAAAAAAAATAGACAAAACTCCAAAAAACAGCATTTAGACAGGATTCATGTCTCAAAGCCATGTTCTTCCTAAATCTAAGTGTGTTAGAACTTACTATAAAACTTACACCTCTTAGTGTATAAAGCAAGGACATGACCACTCCAAGGTATGGTTGAAGAGAAGGTTTTTGCTGTTGATATGAGGGAGAGAACAGTCAGAGGCATCTGGAAGAGTCCAGAGCAGGGAGAGAAAGTAGTAGACTAGACGTGGCCAGTAGCCTGGACCAGGCCATGAGAGGAGACAGGGAGAGAACAAAAGAGGGCCAAGAGGGCCCACGGCCAAAATGGTGGGGTTATACAGGAAGGAGGAAAGAGCATGAGCTACAGTTTAGGGTAGGGGACAGGGTGAGAAGAGCTGAGGAGCCAGGATGCCAGCATGGGCTCTGTGAGAGGGACTTGGGAAGCTGAGAGAGCCTGGAGGCCAGCATGCACTTTGGTGTACTAATAAGCACCACAGATAGCCATTTGTCCCCAGTTCATTTTGAACCTGACATTCCAGCCTTTTTGCTAATAAGGGCCAACATAATTTCTTCTGTAACTACTTGTTGGCTGAAGTTAGAGTGTAGTGTGGTCAGAGCCCAGGAAGGCTGGAAGGCTGGTCAAAGGCTGGGAAGGGAGAGAGGAGTGCAGACTGGGGGACACCTGCTTCACTAGCTGTCCAGGTTCTGTTTGACCACCTGGGGCTAGTGAAGTGCAGGCCACTTTGGAGCAGTCTGGGGTACAGGTTCTGAAGGACCGTCTGGTGCTGTCATGTTGCAGGCAGCTTTGGAGCAGTTTTCAGCTTGAGTTGATTGGAAATCTGCTGGGACAGATATAGACTAGGGACAGAAGTTGAAGTTAAGGAGCTTAGGGGAAAATCTTTGTCTTGGGTGTATACTCGAAACTTCCAGGCCTGTAGTTCTGGTAGTTGAAGGGAGGAGTTCCAAGACCAGGGAGAGGGGAGCCCACCCTTTGGGGTAGGTTAAGTAGGAGCAAAACTTAAGCTGTTGATTGGCAGTACTTACCTGAAGTCTGTTTGACATGTGAGAGGTGGATCTAAGTCACAACTCCCTGATGCTTCCGTGACCTTTTTAAGTTTACAAAAGAGATAAAAAGTTTTGGATATACTAACATTACTATTATTTGTAATCTGCACTGAAATACTGTGTCTGTAAGCAGCTGGAGTAGACTCACGCCCTGCAATGCCAAGTGCTGGGGTGATAGGCAGATGCCACCACACCCAGCTTTTTCCTTTCTTTTTTAAAGATTTATTTTGGAGTGTGTGTGTGTACACACATACACACATGGAGGTCAGAGGACAATTTTGAGAAGTTGGTTCTTTCCTTCTCTCATGTAGGTCCCGGGGATGGAACTCAGGTTGTCAGCACTTTAAGGTTTTTTACTCTGTAGCTCTGGGTCATGAGGATTGACACTTAGGTCATCAGTAATGGCAAGGGCCTTTACCCAGTGAGCCATCTCATCAGCCCACCTAAGGAACTTTATTCAACAGGGACCTTGGGGTTGG